TGCCCAGGGAAGTGGTGGAGTCCCCATCCCTGGAGGTATTTAAAAGACGAGTAGATGAGGCGCTTAGGGACATGGTTTAGTGGACATGGTGGTGTTGGGTCGACGGTTGGACTTGATGATCTTAGAGGTCTTTTCCAACCTCAATGATTCTATGATTCTATGATTACTAGTAGTAGTAGTATTTTATTTTATTTCAATTATTAAACTGTTCTTATCGCAACCCACAAGGTTTCTCACTTCTACTCTTCCGATTCTCTCCCCCATCCCACCAGGGTGGGGAGTGAGCGAGCAGCTGTGTGGGGCTCAGTTGCCAACTGAGGTTAAACCACGACACAATGTTTCCATCAAGAATGTGGTAGAGACTTCAATTTGTAAAACATTTTACAGAAGTCTTTACTTAAACAGTAATCAATTAAATATCATAAAAGTAAAATCTCTCATCAGAATAAGCAAACAAGCTTTCTATAAGGGCACACATCTAAATAATACGATTTATGCAAAAAATTTTAAAAAAACCCAAAAATAAATTACTTTGCGGTCATTCCTTGAGCAGTAAGAGCTCTGCATCTTATTCTGCTTTTTTACTAGAGTGAGAAAGATTTATAATTGTTCTAAGTACCGACAGGATACAGTTTGTGTGACATGCACCTTCACAGCAAGATTTTCAACACTAGCTACCCAGCGTATAGCCTGCTTTATTTGACCCTATGATCACAATTAGGTAATGAAAGCGTATCACTGAACCAAGGAAATGACAGTCAATTCCATCATACTAAACTAGCCCAATTTTCAGAGGCTAATTTGACAACTCATGTTTGTTGTCTGACAACAAATGTTTGACAGTTCTAGGGGAGGTCATTAGTAAGGGGTTAAAAATAACATGAAATACATCCTTTGGTCAAACAAAACTTCCCTGAATTCAGTCACCTTTGCTAAGAACTGTCACACTTTCAGCACTATGCTTTTTTTATGAGCCACGGTAACACTGCCGTTAGAGACTGAACATTTACTCAGATGACTGTTTGATAAACTGTAAATTCTTTACATCTTCATGTTACCTGTAGAAATAAGACTTGCCTGTATGCACAATATGGGCACTATAGGAATACAAAAATACACCTTACTTTTTTCCTGTACATAGAGATAGCCTTCCATCGTGAAGTGATTTGCTCTTTTATGCTCCTGAGGATTTCTTCTGATCTTGTTCATGAGCTCCTCTACCTCTGACCTTGTTCCTTCAAAACGATTTCGTGTCTAAAACAAGACAGCAAAAACCCATTAGTAGAGAGAGCGGAAGAAAGATTTACTCTTCCTGGCAGACAGGGGTTATAATAATAACTTATAAAATGAGAGAATGCTTCAGGCCATTTTAGGATGGTCAGTGCACAATTTCCATATATGTTTACTCTTCAAGTCTTCTGATATTCTTCAAAATTCAAGTGTGGTTTAGATATTAGTTGTTGTAACTGTGGAAAGCACACAAAGATTGCCAGAGTAGATTTCTAAAACTATGCGCTGACCTGTTCAGAAAGAAGTAAAATACTGAGTGCAAAATTACTTTGGATTTGAAAATTCAAGTTTCCTTAGAAAAATATTACTACAGATGTTGGCTTAATTCATGAGATTCTTACTAGTTGTCAGGAACGAGAGGATTTTCTGTGGTTATTGAGAAAAAAGTGACAGGAAGGTCACCAACAATGTATACACAT